AAAAATTAAAAATTAAAAAAAAACACACATCATTGTAAAATCAATACATTCATCGTTCCACTCAGAATCTAAAAACTATCCTAATAATTTTTTTTCTGTGTTTTGTTACAATATTATGAGAAATATTATTTTAAATTGAACCCTTAGCTATAATAATTTAAAATTTTATAAGTATTTAACAACAAAATAATTTGCTAATTTATATTATTTTAATGAATTTTGTCATAATTTTAGCTTTAAATATTTATAAAAAAAAACCGTGTCTTTGTATCTTTTATAGAAGGAGCATCCAGGCGGGATGCCTATAATACATTTAATTTAGATAGAACTAATTAAATTCGAAAAATAGTCCTTACGAGCAAATAAAAATATTCTTAACAGACAATTTTTAATTTTAGCTTTTGGTATTGATAAGACATCCCTAGATTACACCATGTACATCCAATATATATAGTTGCGGCATTGCTCAATAAATTGTTTACGTTTATTTTTTTATACTCTAACCTATGCAGATGTTTATTTTTGATAAACAAGTTAAACTGCAGTTTAACAATTTTTTTGGTCAGTCACTTTTAATTTACACATGGAACATATTAAAAAAAAAAACGAATATAAAGCATAAATACCAAAGATGCACTAGCGGGTACTAAAATATATGAAAATGGTTATTTAATTTTTGATAGTAAATCATTGATTTATTGATATAGATTTAACAGATTGAAACGCAATAAAACTATAGTAAACGTTTGATTTGACAATATAATATAAGACTAAGTCCTTGCATTGTTTAAGCAATAATTTATCAACTTTTTGTATGTTATCTAACTGTAACAAATATATATATACTGTTGTTACGAATACCAGGTAGTACATAACAATAATTATTTTACTTAACATTTTTAGGTAATCAAGAAAAAGAAAGATGAATTTGACCAGAGGAAAAAAGCAATTAATGCGAGAGTAGACCTAACCAACAATAAGGATGGTGAGTTAATAGGGACCGTGAATATAATTCATCATTGGTCACAATATATTTTCTAGCCAAACAGTGCAATCCATAGTAGTATAATACAAATTAATCAGTTCTAAATAATATTTATAATTGTTTAGAAAATCAATCAAAACTATTCTTGGACATATTGTTTGAACTGAACCAAACTGGTGGAAACTTTTCAGATTCCGATATTAGAGATGAGGTTTTAACGATGATGACTGGGGTAAATACTTGTTATTTTATATCGTACAATATTTTACAATACATATAATATGTAATTACAGGGTAGTGAAACCAGCGCTGTCACGATCTGTTTTTGTCTTTTGATGTTAGCCATACATCAAGATATCCAAGTAAACAATAGTTATATAATATACATAGCATATAACAAAATTACAAAATATTCTTGAAGTAGATTTGACACTTTTAAAACACCAAAAGTTTACACTTTACAGTATACACTATAATATTAAATCCGCAAAAAATGTATTTAAAATACCAATTTTATTTATTTGCTTTTTATTTAAATCAGAATATTAACACAATGTAATATGTACCCAACAGTTTTGTTAATCAATTTGGTTTATATTCTAGGATAAAGTATACAATGAAATGTATGATATTTTTGGCGGGAGTGAAGAAACAATAACAATTGAAGACACCAGTAAACTGGTGTATTTAGAACAAGTGTTAAAAGAAACCCTTCGATTATACACTATAGGGCCAGTGCTACTTAGAGAAATTCAAGACGATCTTAAAATATGTGAGTGAATTCAAAAATGTACTAGCAGCTAGTATATTAATTTATATTAAATTAACTGTGTTTTAGTTTCAAGTGATTATGTACTACCAAAAGGAACTATTTGTGTTATAAGCCCAATAGCCACACATCATAGTCCTGTTTTATACCCAAATCCTTGGTCTCTTAATCCTGAAAACTTCACCCCCGAAAATGTCGCAAAACGTCATAAATATAGCTTTATTCCTTTTAGTGGTGGTCCAAGGGGTTGCATAGGTAAAGCAATATTTTTTGAAATCATAATTATATATAACTCCTATTTTATATTCTAATACTATTGTAATTAAATTGAACGACAGGATCCAAATATGCTATGTTGTCGATGAAAGTTACTGTGTCAACATTTTTACGACATTTTAGCGTACATACTGACATCAAAGTAACAGACATTAAGTTAAAATTAGATTTGTTGATGAGAAGTGTTCACGGTTATCCTGTTACAATTCGACCACGAATGAAAAGACCAACAAAATATAAGCGAAATTAGAAACCGCTAGGATAATGCTCAATCGATTAATATTATAATTATTGATATATTTTGATTTTTTTTATGTTATGTATCAATCAGTAATTATAGAGTATCATGCTTATTATTGAATACAACTATTGTCAACTATACAAGACAGCTGGGCAATGAGGAGGATACGCTGCTATAAAGTTAATGTTTATTTTGGTAAACTTAAACTTTGAATTAAGCATTATTTACATTAACTTATCTGTATTGTCTATAACAAAAAAAAGAATTGTTGAATATAATTAAAAATGATTTTAAAAAAAAACTTAAATACAGTATATTTTTTTAACATGGGGAAGTTATATTTTTTTCAGTTTCTGAAGACTATAATATAGTGATTGAATATTGTGTTGAAGTTAAATTAAGTTAAACGTTTATTTTATATTCTTTGTAAATTGTACTATATTTGTTTATAATACCTATAGCCCAGTCAAACTAGACCAAAAATCGACAAAGTTCGGAACTAATTCCATGAAAGCTGGATTTTGATTTTTTTTTTTTTGAGTTTATACCTCACTTACAAACATACTAAAAGTAATGACACCTATCTCTTGTGGGTAGCCCTCCACCCCTCTTCAAAGGGTGGCGCCACCTTTCACTGTATTCGCTTATACCTCGTTAGAGTTTCAAGTTACAATAATAATATCTATGACCAAAATTAAAGACCATACAATTTACCATAGACTAAAAAAATTTAAAAAATATAAAAAATATAAAATTAATATCTTTTTTTTATTGCGTTTGACCAAAAACCATCCATCATACGCTAAAATGATCTATGACAAAAGTTAACAAACAAATAATTTTACATCATATTATAACGTTAAATTATTTTAACAAATTTAATTATCGTAAGTAATAGTGTTTTTTATATCAGTATTGACGATATAATTGAACAATTTGTTGAAAATTACAAAATATAAGATCAAAAATATAATTACAATATACTAAAAAAAAATTTTCGAAAGCTGAATTTTGGTATATGAGTAGTTTATACTGTACTTATAAACATACTAAAAGTCTTTCACCAATCTTCAAAGGGTGGAGCGCCCCTTTCACTGTTTTCGCTTATAACGAGTCAGCTTTTCAAGTTACAATAAAAATACCCATAACCAAAATTAAAGACTATACAATTTACTATAAATCTCTTTACTATAAACTTATAGGTCGAAAAGAGGTTATTGAGTCAGGTGGATTATTAGGCTTGGGCACTAGGATGATGATAGAAAATGTCCACAGCATGGGAAAGTATGATAGTCTAATAATGGAATTAAAAATATATGTGAAAGATGGATAAAGGCTTTATTAGGTAGACACCTAGCTACTTCAGCAGTAATCAGGTCAAAACCTGGAGATTTCTTAAGGGAATATTTATTTATGGCAAATTTTATATCGTTAGGTGTGAAATGTTTAATAGGATTAGATGGCAAGAACGGTGGGGAGTTAAGAAAATCTTCCACAACACTAGTATTGGTTTGAGAGTAAATATCAGGGTGAGGTTGAAAAATATCAGATAGATGTACTTTAAAAAGTTCAGCTTTATCAGTGTCAGAGGTAACATAACTTCCGTCAGGATTTTTAATTGGCAAGTTAGAGGTTTTGAATATACAAATATTTTTAGTCGCTCTCCAAAGACTGCCATCTTTTGGTGAGAGTTTGGAAAGAAAATTAGTGAAGGTCTCAGATTTATGTTTTGCCAGAACTTTTTTAAGATGATTTGTTAATTTATTGTATTTGTGCTTATGAGAAGGAAGACGAGTACGTTGAAAAATAGCTCTAGCTCTGCGTTTTTCTACTATTATATGGCGAATATATTCTGGAAGAAGAGGGTTATGAAATGAAGTTTGAGCTTCTGAGGTAGAAGACCATGCCGCAGATTGAATAAGTTTTGTAAAATTATTTACAGCAAGATCAATGTCATTAGTTGATTTTAGTTTTACATTTAATTTTATTTGTTGGTTAACAAGATCATGAAATTTGTTTTTATCGGTAGAGGGCTTAAATAATTTAGGAGATTCAAGATGTGTTAGAGGAGAAGCATTTATAGTTAACAAGATAGAGGAGTGGTCAGAATTTAATTCAAGGAGATTTTCGGTGTAACAGTTTAAGTTACTAGGATCGGGGTTTTCGCGTGCTGAAGTCGGCCAATAAGTGGGGCCAGGAGGAGCAAGAATTTTGTAATTTTTAGTTGATATGAAATTTTTGAGGACTATTCCACGTGGATTATTAACACGACATCCCCAGGTCAAATGTTTCGCGTTATAGTCACCTCCAGCTATAAAATTGTTGTTAATTGAGTTGAAGTAGTCTGTAAAAATTTGATTAGTAATTTTGTGTTTAGGGGGAGAGTAGACAGCTGCTATGGTGATGGGGACATTATTAATTTTTGTAATTATAGCACAGGATTGTAGATATTCTTGACAAAAATTTGGAAGAGGTTGATAGACAATTGAAGATTTAATTATAATGGCAACTCCACCATGCGCTGTGTTATCGGGGTGATTTGTTTTTAATACTTTGTAACCAGGAATGTTAATGTGTGAATATTTGGTGAAATGGGTTTCGGTTTTAAGAGCGATATCTATGCGTTTATTGTATAATACAGTTTCAAGAACGTTAATATGATTTTTTAGGCCAATCGCATTGAATTGAAGGATAAGGGTAGATTTGTTAGTGATATTATTAGTAGACATTTATATTTTATCAAATAATTTTGTGATTAATTTATTGAGAAGAATGATAAGAGGTTCAATAAGTGATTTGAACTCACCAAGGAAATTTTTGAGCTCGGATGTGGAGTTAGGAACTGTATTGGTAGATTCACCAGAGGTGGCTTGAGCGTAAGTGGGTACGTGGTTAAGGGGTTGATTTATTGGAGTTTTAGTTAATGGGTGGCTGTCTTTAACAGTTGTATTCTTATTTCTAATATTATCTGCTAAAAAGTTACTGTTAGTGGTAGGTTTCCTGCCGCGTTGAAGCTCCCTATACACTGAGCATCCCTTGTAGCTGGCAGGATGATCTCCAGAGCAGAGTGCACATTTCGGTGGGTCTGAGCGTAAGGATGGACATGAAGAAGACTGATGATAATCACCACATCGGACACAGCGAGAGTGGTAGCCACAGTAAGTTTTAGTGTGACCATATTCCTGGCAGTTATTGCATTGACTGATCACTTTGGGTTTGAAGGGCTCTTCAACTTTTAGTTTGGTGTGTAGGAGAGAGGTGAGCTTATAGATATCGTTTGAAAAGTCAGTCGGTTCTAAGTCAACAAAGAACAGAGGGAGTGGCCATTTGGTGGTTTTATGTAGCACATTCGAGACCTGCCTGACCTCGAAACAACGAGTCTCGAGTTCAGATTTTATTAGTTGTGTAGGTGTAGATTGATGAATGTTACGAATAACTACACGTAAAGGTTTATCTTCTCGTAACTGATATGTATGGTATTCAGCATTGCTTTCTTTAAGATAGCGAATAAGTATTCTATAAGAATCAGGGTTCGCGGTTTGAATTTTTAGGCGGTCACCAGCAGACTTGCAAAAGAAATTATCGACACCAATTAGTTCGATTAGTACAGAGCAGAAGTTCAGAAAGTCTAAGATACCTTTCATGAATATCGGGGGAGGAAGTTTGATGTGTATAACTGCATTTGGTTCTTCCGTAACAGCGGGTGAACCGGTTTCCATGACTGTCGGTTCATTTTGAGTTAGAAGTTCGTAACGGTTGCGTGTAGTAAAATTTTTTTTGTTTTGTGAACCTACGAGCTTAGGCGAAGTTTTGTTGGAAGAAGTGTCCGATGAAGAACTTGATAAATTTCTTTTGGTTTTGGGAGACTGCTTTTGCCAGCCATCGTTTGCTTGGCTGTTCATGTTACTACCTTGAGTACTGCAGGTAGAGATAATGGAATTACTAGAAATTGCATGAGTTGATAAGCGAGCAGGCTGTATAATGCTGTTTACTTTATTGGTATTACAATTAACTGTTTTATTTTGAGCACGATTTATTGTTTTATTTTGTGCACGACTTGTTGTTGGAGTGGTCGGCATATCTTACGTGAGCAAGGTCACGAACCGCTGCGCGACGCACGCGAACGCGTTATCTAAGGGTGGCGCGACGACTGTTAGATAATCGCACTTTTAGTATAATATGTAAGAAAATAAAATTACATTTTGTAAAGCACACGAACGGAACGGCGTACTTACAAGTTAAAATTAAACTGATAATTTGGATTGAGATTAACGTTAGCAATTTTTACATATCACTTTGGACATAAACGGTTGCGATGAGCAAGAACAAAAACGAGATTTAACGGAGTTAATAAATACGTGTGCATCGGGCGCAGTGCGAACCGGGACTGAACATTTTATAATTTATTAATTACAATTATTGATAATTTTCGATTAATTTTGATAAATTTTGTCGAAATTCGATCTTTAAATGCTTATAAAAAAAAATTGTGCCTATGTATTTTTAATAGTTTTCTTTATTGATATTTTTAGAATAAAAACTAAAAGAAAATGGAAAATGAAAATGTCCCTAAACAGTTCAAAACAAATCATAATATTTTAAAAATGTTATCGTGTATAGAAAATGCAAATATAAACAACCAGTAAAAATTTCATGCGTTCATTTGTTTTAGAGTTACACCAAAAACCAAAATCGATTTTTTGGAAAACTGATTTTGCGTAAAAATTCCCGTTATTCCTTAATTTTTATGTGTTTCATCCCGGCGCTTCTGAAAACTATTGGGAATTTTAAAATTTGACCTCCCGAATGCACCAACTAGATTCACTTTCCAATCGAACAAGATACTGAAGTTGAAAATCGAAACATTATTTCGACTACTTATCGTGTACACAGACAAAAAAATAAAAAAATAAATTTAAAAAAAGGTGCTCTGCTGTACAGCTGTACAGTAGGTTATAAGTAGGTCAGTGTATAATCCCTGCTGGCTGATGCTATCGATGTGTTCAAGCAAGCCATCACCGCGCGTGCAGAGGCACAACATGTGGCGGTACTAGTGAACAAGGCAGCAGGAGCTGTGGCATCAGGGACCCATATGACTCTGGAAGAGAGTGTGCTTGCGGAGATAAGGTCGATTAACTCCAAGCTGACTGATCAGGGCGAACAAATATCGGCAATGGCGGCCACCATTAAAAGTGGACAAGGCGAAGCTGGGCAGTGGACGGAGGTAGTAAAGAGGAAGGCATACCAGAAGAAAGCAGGCGCTGAGCTAGTTCCACCACTCACAGGGGGGCGACCTAGGGTTACCCACTAGGACCAACCCGAGCGCAAGGACTACTAGAACGCGTCCCCCGGCCATTCTAGTCCGAGTTAAGGATGGTTCCTATTCAGAGGCGCTCAAGACGATCAAGGGTAGCGGGGACGTCCAAGCTGTCTCGGACGACATCGTAGGACTGAGTAAAACCAGAGACGGTGATCTACTTATACGGCTCAAAGCCAAGAACCAAACGTCGGGAAAAATCGTCGATGCGATAGGCACGGCGATGGGGGATAAGGCAGCGGCCAGGGAAATGGCACATTTCCAGAAGGTTGTTGTACAGGATCTCGACGAGCAGGCTGAGCCGTCGGAGATTGTCGAGGCAATCTGCGGCGCAACCAACGCAAAGTCTGAGGAGGTCATGGTGATATCGACAAGAGATCTCAGCAGAGGGCAAAAGTGGGTAGTAATCTCACTCCCAGCCCACATTGCGAACAAGGCTCTGGCAGCCGGGAAGCTAAGGGTCGGGTACGTTAATTGCCGGATACGTTCTTGGGAAGATCGCGGGAGAGGCAGATGTCCTAAATGCCTGGCGTTCGGGCACAGGCGGGACGACTGCTCGGGTCCAGATAGGGGAGACCGTTGCAGGGAATGCGGATTAACCGGTCATCAGGCAGCATCTTGCAGCTCTACAGAGGACGTTCGAGTCGTTTTTAAGGCATTCCTGAGTGGTAACACAGTCGGGACAACAGGCGGAAAACGAAATGATTAGATGCCTCCAAATCAATGTTGACGTATGCAGGGCGGCACAAGACCTGGCACTGGCAACCGCGGCCAATATGGGCATCGACGTGGTGGTCTTCAGCGAACCATACTGTTGCCGCTCAGAAGCCGATGGATGGTTCGCTGATATTGATGCGAGGACAGCCATACTAGTATTTAACCCAAAGCTACAAATTCAGGAAATCGGACAAAAGGACAACACAGGATTCCGATGGGTTAAAGTTGAAGACATCACGGTGTATGCTTGTTACTGGTCCTCTAACACGGCATACACCCTTTTCATAGACTTCTTAGATCGGCTAGAGGGCAGAATCAGACGCCAAGAGGGCACAGTCATAGTCGCCGGAGATTTCAACGCAAAATCTGCGGCTTGGGGAGACCACACCGAAGAATCGAAAGGGCGTGCGCTGGTGGATATGACTGCTAGTACAGGACTGGCAGTATGCAATACCGGAGACAAACCGACATTTTCCAGGGTGTATGCCGGCGGAATATCAAGGTCACATATTGACATCACGTTCGTCAATGAGAAGAGTAGCCACCTGGTTTGCGACTGGAAAACATTGGACGACTACAGTGCATCACTTCATAGATACATTACGTACAGTATAAAAAGGGAAGTACGCACAGAGAGCCTACCCGCAGAGGATAAATGGTCTTGGAGGAAGTATGATAGAACGAAACTCTTAAATTTCATCGAATCAACCGACTTTATAACGTGCGACGAGGTGATTGAGGCTGCGAGTACACTGGACAAGTACCTTAAAACTGCATGTAACAGCTGCATGCCCAAGGGAAAGTACACTGGTGGCAAGAAGCCTGCCTACTGGTGGACACAGGATATTGCCAAGATACGAGCAGAATGTCATAAAGCTAGGCGCGAGTACAAGAGGGGACGTTTCAGACCGATCGAGGAACAGGAACAAAAGAAGGAAGCCTTCAAGGAAAAGAGAAAGGAGCTGAAGCTGGCCATCCAGAGGAGCAAGAAAGCAAGCTGGGCAGACCTTTGTAGACAAGTAGAGACTGATCCATATAAGCTGGTGACGAAGAAGCTAGTTGGCAGAAGGCCAATCCCGGGACTCTCGTTGCCAGGCAAAGCTGATTCTATTATTGACGCTCTCTTCCCAACGGAAGAAGAAGTGGTATGGCCTCGAACGACGGAGAATCATGTTTTTCCGGACGTCACTTATGCCGAAATCGGAGAACTGGTCTGCAAAATTCCACATGGGAAGGCGCCAGGACCAGATGGTGTTCCTGACATAGTGGTCAAGGAAATCGCCATAAAAGACCTGAGATCCTGAGGGACATCTTCAATGAATGCCTCAGACATAGCGTTTTTCCGCAACCATGGAAGGTGCCTAATCTGGTCCTTTTGAGGAAGGGGGACAATCCGTTGGACGATCCATCGTCATACCGTCCCATCTGTCTCCTAAACACAGTAGGAAAGCTTTTCGAGAGAGTCATCAAGTCGCGGATGGAAAAGTGGCTTGATGAAAACGGAATCCTAAACGATCGACAATACGGTTTCAGAAGGGGGCGGTCGACGGTGGACTCGATCAAACGTGTCATGAACGTAGTGGACGCGGCTGGATCCGGGCCGTTAAGGAAACTGTGCGCAGTGGTAGCCCTGGACGTGGCTAACGCGTTCAATAAGGCGAAATGGCCGATAATAATTAAAGCCTTGCAAGACAAGGGAGTACCTGCCTATCTTGTCGGTATCCCGGCCTTGCTCTATCAATAAGAAAATCAGAGGCGGTGATACTGACCAAAAAGAGGGGCTACAACATGCCTGAGTTTTCGATCGCGGGCAATCGCATCGAAATAAAGGAGAGTATCAAGTACTTAGGTGTAGAACTACACAGGGTGCTGGGCTTTAAAGCGCACATAAAGACGGCGGCGGCGAAGGCAAATAGTACTGCATCGGCACTAGCAAGATTGATGCCCAATATCGGGGGTTCGGGACAGAGGAGGAGGAAGCTCCTGTCCACAGTCGTGGCGAGGAAACTGCTATACGCGTCGCCGATATGGTCTAAAGCCCTTGTCTTCAACCATAACATCGAAAACTTAGAGAGGCCCCAGAGGACGAGAAGGATAGCAAGAGCCTACCGCACGATATCCACGGCGGCAGTGATGATAATCGCGGGCCTAATACCAGCTCACCTTTTGGCATGGGAGTGAACGGAGAAGTACAAACGGAAGCACGAACCAGACCAGACACGAGTGACAATGGAGACCAAGGGAGAGGTGATGAACAGATGGCAAAGAGAGTGGGACAACGAAGAGAACGGCGAATGGACACGACGAATGATTAAGGACATCAATACGTGGACAATCAGGAAACATGGCTCCGTGGATTTCCACCTCACACAACTACTGTCTGACCATGGTTGTTTTGGAGCATACCTGAAGAGGATCGGGAAGCAGGAGGATCCGAGTTGTGCGGACTGCGAGGAGCCGGTCGACGACGCGGAGCACGTGTTCTTTAGGTGCGATAGATGGTGGAGTGAAAGAAGAGCGCTGGAGTAGAGCTGGAAGAAGACGTATTGAGTCCAGACAATATTGTTGGATGCATGTTGAAGAAGCGGAGCAACTGGGACGCAGTCAACAGTTTTGTGAAACGTGTCCAGTCCCGTAGAGAGGAAGATGAGCGACGGAGACAACGAGGATTTAATTAAGGGCTGGTTAGTTAAGTAAATTTAAATTGTGCGCCAATGGCGGAATTAGAGGGATAGAGCCCTCATTTTTTATGTGGAGCGAAGCTCTTAAATTAAATTAGCAAGTTAAGGCCATGGGTATGATACGTTTCAATAAATGATACGGATACAGGGGGAAGGACGACCCACCAGGGTGTAGTGCCCCCCTGTAGCGCCTTGATACCACAAAAAAAAAAAAAAAAGTCAGTGTATAATAGATGATATTAAATTTGAATTCAATGATATTATATCGTTGTATAAGAAAAACGATTCTGAGCGGAGACTGTATGTCAGTATAGGTATAACTGTTATAAGGCATATTAAATACTTATCTATGGTATTAAAAAAAATTGTCCTGTTATAGGAAGGTACCTATAATAAATTCTCAATGAATCATATCACAATATCCATTTGGTGAAATTTGTGTGAAATTTTCATGTATCTACAGTTATTCGTTTTTGAATTACAAGAAAATAATGAAATCACTACATGAGAAATCGAGTGAATATCCAATGTTGTAAAAATTTGAATTTCAAACGCTCATAAAAATTTAATTTGACTTTCTTATAAATATTTATTTCTTGATAAGGGCAGATAATCTTATAAGGAATCTTGTATCACATTTTAAAATCTTAGATTTATAAAGAAAAAATTTTATGAATTCTTAACTCAAAATAATTTGCTAATTTTCGTGATTTTTCCATATTTTGTAAATTTTTGGACTTTAAATGTTTCTAAAAATGTGACTAAGGATTTTTAATATTTTTCAAATTCCATTGTAACAATATAGTAGGAGCCTTGTATTAAATTTTCAAGCGTTTTTAACCAACAAATAAAATTTTATTGATATTTTTAGAAAAAAAACTAAAAATAAATGGAAAATGAAAATGTGCCTAAACAGTTCAAAATAAATCAAAACATTTTGAAAATTTTATCGTGTATAGAAAATGCTAATATAAACATTCAGTCAAAATATCATGTACCTACGGTAATTTGCTTAAGAGTTGCACCAAAAACCAAAATGGATTTTTTCGAAAACAGGTTTTAGTGTAAAAATTCCCGTTTTTCCTTAATTTTTATTTTGTTTTTCACGCCGCGTTTGAAAACTACTAGGAACTTTTCACTTTTTACCCCACAAAGTACCAACTAGATTCACTTTCCTATCAGAAAAGTTATTGTTGAAGAAATCCAAGCATTTTTACTGTCCTAAAACATGATGACAGACACAAAAAAAAATTAAAAAATTAAAAAAAAAACACGCATCATTGTAAAATCAATACATTCATCGTTTCACTCAGAATCTAAAAAAACACACATCATTGTAAAATTAATACATTCATCGTTCCACACAGAATCTAAAATTAGACCCGCATAATTTAATTAATAAGGTACAGTATGATTTTATTAATTCAATTCATAATATAATATACATAATTAAACATGAAAATATTAAGTATATTATTTAATTTTGTTTCAAAGCCTACAACGCAACACCATTTTTAAAGTTTAATTTCATAGCTCATAGTCTGAAAAAATAAAAATAAATATATAATTTTCAATTTTCGATTTGTGTACTTATTTTATAAATTATTGTAATTAGTAGTTATTTCATAGTTAACTTTTTTTTATGTTTTAGTTTTATAAATATTTATGTCAAATAAAATAATATGTTGTCTTTGTAAATTGTATGGTCTTTAATTTTGGTTATAGGTATTTTTATTGTAACTTGAAAAGCTGACTCGTTATATGTGAAAACAGTGAAAGGGGCGCTCCACCCTTTGAAGAGGGGTGGAGGGCTACGCACGAGGTGTAGGTGTCAGGACTTTTGGTATGTTTATCAGTAAGATATAGACTATTCATATCATAAAATTTAGCTTTCGAACATTTTTTTTAGTATATTGTAATTATATTTCTGATTCTTATATTTTGTAATTGTCAACAAATTGTTCAATTATATTGTCACTACTGATATAAATAAACACTATTACTTACGATAAAAAAAATTATTAAAATAATATAACATTATAATTTTATGTAAAATTATCTGTTTGAAAACTTTTGTTATAAGTCATTTTAGCGTATGATTGACGGTTTTTGGTCAAACACAAAGAAAAAAGATAAAAAATTTTTATTTTTTTATATTTTTTAAAAATATAAAACTTACCGCAACATATATATAAATATAAAGTAGAATTATTCTGTGGTAAATTGTATGGTCTTTAATTTTGGTCATAGGTATTTTTATTGTAACTTAAAAAGCTAATGAGTTATAAGCGAAAACCGTGAAAGGGGGTGCCACCCTTTGAAGAGGGGCGGAGGGCTAAGCACAAGGGGTAGGTGTCAAGACTTTTAGTATGTAGTAAGTGAGGTATAAACTAAAAAAAAAATCAAAATCCAGCTTTCGTGGAATTAGTTCCGAACTTTTTTCTATATTGACTGAGCTTCTACTTTATTCTATTATTATAAGTTAAAACTAGTATCTTACTGTTAGCCTAAGAGGGTTAAGCTGTTAAGTATAATAACAAAAGCGTGATTCGGAATTTTTGTCGTGTTTTTTTTTCTAATTAATTTTCATGGACATTCTATAAGGTCAATCATAGGTATCGTGAACCGTTTTTAATCACGGTTCATTTGTTCCCGAGAATGCGCACCTTTTTTTTTTAATATAATTGGCTTTAAATAATTACGATCTATACAGTATGTACAGTAAGTAATATTAATAAATTTACAAACAGTTGACAGTGAATACAATGACATGAGGAGGGAATCACACATTTGTGACACCTCTAAGAATGCTCACCTGCAAAATATATTATAATATAGTACATATATAGTACGTAATAATGATATATAATAATAATATAATAATAACGTTATAATAATATAGTACGTATACACAAACACCATTCAAAATTAACACGTTGAATCCATCACTCGTAGCCTTTTTTTTCTATGTTAAATCACTACATGGGAGCCGAACTGTTTTCACATTGCGTAACTCCCATGTAGCATCGTTTATTTAATAAAAAATTTCACAACTTTGTTTTTGGGCTCGCAAGGGACCTGGTACACTTTCCTCATCTGCTGCAGGTGATTATATGTATACCACGGCCCCATGATGCCTCACAATATTTTTACATGCGGCCAGAGCCACATGGGTATAGTCGGGCAGACCGAAGTCAGTCGTTCTGAATACACGTATGAACCTGTGAGAGACGAATCAACTGGGGATTACAAAAGGAGGAAAATTACAAACTTGGAATCTTTATACTTACACTAAGCCAAATATTAAATGTTTTCTGAAAGCCGAACGTTTAGAATGGGCGGGTCATGGCATGCTGAGGGGAGCGTAATTTGAAAGGTAGGTGCTGATTAATAAACCGACTGGCAAGCGCCCCAAGGAAAGACCTTGGCAATGGTTGTAAGATTATGCAGACATCATAAGAACAATAGATGGAACAGTAAACCATGAGACTGCAAATGACTGTGATAAATGTAAGAACTTAATAGAAGCTGAAAAAGGCTTAAAGGTCAATAAAGCAAAAAAGCCCCTAATATAATATATTATTGAACATGAAATACCTATGCATACATTGACACAAATGGAGAGGATTGATTACAGGGGCGTGATCGAAAATTTTCAATGGGACAAATGAAAGACAATTTGTTCAATTAAAATTTAAAACCACTAAAATGTGCACATTATCAGTCACAGATTAGAGTAATAAACTTTCCAAAACTGAAAATGGTGATGACCCCACCCCCCCCTTTCCCTGGAATTAGACCCACTGATCACCTCTTAGTCTGCCAGTAAGTTTTAAATTGGCCCACTCCTCCTCAAATGTCAATAGATACTTGGATATAACCACCACTTAAATACTGAATAAAATGTACACTTTATATATAAATATATTAGTAGTATACTATTATATTCAAAATGGACCCAGGACCACCTTGATTGTGACACTGTGTTCGTGTGAATGGCAGCCTTAAGATAAAATGTTCGTAGAATCATCAAGTAAAAACCAATTAGTGTTTAAGTATGAGATTTAATATGTCAATTTATGTGTCACATACCTACTATACCTGTTCACCTACTATACAATAGGACGCAATCGGAACACGGAAAAGGTGGGCAAAAAATCGTTTACCTGCGTCTGGGACGCAATCGACAAATTCCGGTGTGATATAACATGATGGCATAATGCAATACGTTTCTGAGTGGACGTTGACGAGTGGATGATTAATGTTTTGAATAATATGGTGCAATATATAAATGATGTAAAGTTATGGCGTAGATGCACATCATAAAATACATATCCAAGGCTAAATTTCAACCCCAATTTGGCCCCGGTCACATTCTCTAGAGCCGTGATATTTGATAAATCAAATCATACACATACCTATTGGCATCGGGCATATCTAAATAGGTGTAACTGATTTCATTTTATTTATTTTAATACACCTACACTTAAAATATCTAACTTATAAATACGAATAACTAACAAGATATAGGTATAGTTCCTTTGATTCGTTTTGCATGGGAACACGAGGTAGAGAGTGCAGTGGAAAAATGAATGTGTAGTTTAGCTATACTTGTGTAGTTGACATTTTATAGACAAATATAATATAGTAATTAATACAAAATTAGTTGGCTCTTAAAATGTTTCAAACTTTTATATTATATATAGGTATATACAAATTTTACAATGCACGTCTGAACATCACAATAATAATTCAACAATATAAGTCCCAGAATAAATTATTATTATTTAACACTTTGAGATAGCAAGGTCAGATAGAAACATTAAATTTAGATAGGTACCTACTGAAATTTAATAATAATTGTTCCTCAAACAGATGAGTAAGTACTATATCGTCATAATATAAAATAAGAAAAGTAATAAATATCTACCTATACAAATATACAATAATAATATAAATATTATATCATTTATTGTAATACAAATAATTTTTTATGTACTTTAAAAAATATTATAAAAACATTAGAATTAAAATGTAACTAATTTTAAAATGTGATCTCTATAATGTATAGGTACATTGTGTAGTTCCTTAAGACGTGTTTTTTTAGTATTTAGGGTTCTCACACTATAGGTTGAATCTCTTTTACATCTTTCTGCTCCTCATTATTCCATTTTTGTAATTTAGAACTTCCAAAAATCAAAAATGCAATTCCTGTTAATGAACAAAATGCCGCTGATACAATAAATACTTTTTTCCATTGTTCTATGGTTTGCTGAAAACAAAACAATTTAAACTAATAATGGTCAAATGACAAATATTAATATAATTTATTTTATAATATACATTTTAATAAGTAAATTAACAGAATACGACTTTATAAATAAATATTACAATCATTATCATTTATCGGTATTGATCCGATACGTATGGAAATATAACGAAATTGAAATAGGTAGTCTAAATTTTGTACAGACTTGTACAGTTCGATCATTTGTATTGCTCATTATATTGATTCATAGAATATTAAATATTATGCACGATTATTAATACAATCATGCCAAGTTTCATAAAAATCGATTCATTTAAAATGGTTCACTAAATTTTGGGCCACTGAATCATACTAAATGGACAATATATTAGCTTACTATTGATTCATTTAATCGTTATCGATTATGCAACCCACTACCCGATCTCAATCTCTTTAATTTCTAAATTATACTTATTATTAAATCAATGCGAGTGTTTTAGCCTATGGATACATTACACGTATACCAAGGAATAACAACAAATCGGAAATGAGGATAAATTCCTAGATTCCTATGCCTTTTAGAAGTGTAGTTGAGAAGTTTAGAATAGAGTAGCAGTAAAAATCGAATATTAAATTTCTAATAAAACGATCTGTTATACTTGAGTTTAATAATTTAGTTACTATGCGTTATCATTAATTCACCCATGTTTTTACTAACCCACCCAAATAGTCTATATAGGTAATATAATGTGTGAATTTTATTAATTTTTCAAATAAATTAAGAATAAGTGATAAAAAAAAATAAAAAATACCTGTTGATATGTGATCAATCCCACAATGTATGGTGAAATGCTAATGCAAAATATCACAATTGTTCCATTTATGCCTTGTAACACTCCCGCAAAATTTGGAGCTAGATCCACAATTCCTGGAAGTGCTCCCGAAGAAATTGCACCACTCACGACCACGGCACACACCAAATTAAATATGACAAAGGTCTCGTTACACCCAGAATATGCAAACGTCAATATAAAGAGGCCATGAACTATGTTACTGAAAACGCAAGCCAGTTTGCGTACGTTCGTTATGGACATTATTTTAGCTTGAATTAAATAATCACATAAACAACCAAAACTAAATGCAAATGGCCATAGGAACAAATGTGGTACACCAGACCAAATACCTGTCTATTAGTGAAAAAACTTATTATAATATATTATTTGTAATTTCAAATCACGAATAACAAACTTACCTGTTTTAAGTTAAAACCCAACACAAATTTGAAATACGTTGGTGCTTGGAGGGATATTGTGTACATTCCCCAGTTATAACCAATTTGCGATATGATGTTCACCATTAAAGGCAAAGACGTCAAAATTGATTTCCAAGGTGTTGAAGACTATAGCATTTAAAATATGAGGGCAACATAAATAATATACAGATATGAATAATTAAATATGTGATAATAATATTCTACACTTACAGATACATTTTTTACTATAGAGTTGCCTAGACTGTTTTCTATGTATTTTAGTTCTTTCTCAGTTATAGTCGGATGTATTCTTGGTGAATCATATACAAGATAAGTCCAACATATATGCCATAGCAAACCAATTGACCCCGTAATATAAAACACACTCTCCCAACCTAGCCAATCCATTAAGTAACCACAAACTATGTAAGTCACAGCCGTTCCAACAGATGTACCTTTAAAACACACACGATAAACATATAGTTAATTTTTAGACATATAGTTATTATATATTATAAATGTATTAAAATTTTAAGTACGGTTTATTTAGATTTTAGGTAAATAATATTACATAATATGTGTATAAGAATATTAATAAAATAATATATTATAGTATATAATATCATAATATTATATGGTTCAATTGTGGAGTTTTATTTTTGAGTTACACATTAATACACTATAGGTACGTAGATGTACAATTTTTAACTAAAGAAATAGCCAATAGGTAAGTAAGTATATCACATAGATGCTGATAGACATATCTGATTTATCTGGTTATTTGTTGGTTACCTATTCGATATTAAATCGAATAATGAGCCAATGGCCCATATGACGAGGCTAATATAAAAAAATATAATATATAATAAAAGAAAAATATATGAGATCCTGCTTGTCACTAGACTCCGGGGCTGCTGCCTGCTCGTTATATCATTTAAATAGTTAATTACAGTCTATTAACGACAACCCAACCGGCAATATGTTTAAAAAATAAATAATAATATTCCCACGACACATTGCAATAACTATACAGTAGTGAATAATGAGTAGTCTTGTAAAGAATACTTTTTCTAGACTCAAAATACATCAATAATATACCTACACAAATTGTATTGATCAATCATATTATTATAAATATTAAAATATGGAAATGTCTATATATTTCTTGTAGTTATCACTCCTTATTACGATAATCAATCGCCAAAAGTAGAAGGTAATCATATAAATAGTATAGGCTTATAGTATCTACAAGGTAAACAGTAGGTATTGGTATCTTAAAAATAATTTAATCAAGTACTAAGTTTTAAATTTTTTTTCTTGTAATTTACTTTCGAAATATTTACCATGGGTGTTATATCACTCAATATGTCACAACATTACAACAATTCTATATTGTGCAATAATAAAATATAATATTTTAATTTTTAAATAGGTAATATAGACATAATAATATAACTAGCAATAATATTACATCATGACAGTAAATGACAAAATAATGTAATTTGTACGAATAAAGTAATATTTAAATTTTCAACATCATAGCCACATAAGTATCTATACGTAGCTAATGTTATTTTTAATCAGCCGATATTAAAATTGTCTATTTTTTTTACTGCTTTTTGAAGGCGGAAAGTTCAACATTTTACATTGTATAGCCAGCCTCGAGACATAACGATTTACCCGTAACAAATAACAAAACGTTCCGAATGATAGAAGATAGAACCTATGAAATATGAATACAATTATTTTAATATATTATTTTTATATTATATATTCATATACACATGTTCAAATGGCTATATTATTTATATACTATTAATTTTTATATATAACCTTGGTTCTTTAATACTAGATTATCATAACAAAATTTCAAGACAGCTGTTTTTGTTTCGTGGTTGTGACCATAGACAAATATTATACCATTTCATACTTTCAATGAAATATGGACAATAGATGATAATGTATATATTATGTTATATAAGTAGGGAAAAATAATAAGAACAAAAACATTCCGATTTTACTCTCTGGGTCTTTGCCAAATTGGAAAATGTCTTTATTTATTATTAAATAAATAACTATTATTATCTATTTGCAATTTACACAGATATTATTTTCGTTTATAATCCGTAAAACATGTAGGTATATCATATCATGTTATATTTCGGTGTTTCCGAATTGCGGACAAAGTGACAAAAACCATGTGAGTCGCGGACGAAATCTAAAAAGGTAACATACGAATTGCGGACACAAATATAAGATACTAATTGCGGATAATGTTACAATATTCACGTGGTGAATTCAGTAGAATATCATATATACAGGCTGTTTTAAAAACTATGACGATAATCTATAAATATTTTGTAAACAATTTTTTCCACAAAATTAAAACAATCTATAATTCAACAACATTTTAAAAATAACGATTACTCTTTTGCAAGACACAAATATTTTTAACCCCACCTACCAATTTTTTTTTTAGCTTTTGTCATAAGTCCTGAAAAAGTGGTGAAGGGAAATATTTGTGTCCACAACTAAAGTAGTTTTTATTAAAAAAAGCTCTGTACGCAATTAGTATTATGACAACGAAACTCGTGTCCGCAATTGTTATATTATAATTCCTAACCTGAATAATTCGTCCGCAACTAGTATGTATCCTTATATTTTATTGAATTATTATTTATTAATTATAAAATGGCTAACCCCTATATTCATTGTCTATTAATCCATTGTATCTCAAAGATCAGACCCGAGTACCTACCAATGACAGCAAGTCATCAAAGCATTATTATGTTGTTTTAAATAATTAAAAATGTTATTCTAAAAAAAACAATAAGTAAACTAAACTTAAAATATAAATACCTAAATATGCTGACACGAAACGGCTTCTTTCGTGGGGTGGTATCCATTTGCCCGTCATCGCCTGCATTGATGGCCACGCTAATCCAGCTATGAGACCTTGAATAATTCGTATTAAAATCAAAGCATTGAAATTAAATTTTGCCGACACAGGTATCACACAAGTGAGTAGAGCAACTAAGCCGTTACTATAGCCAAATATGGATTTAGCTCCGAATTTCTGTGCTAATAAACCACCAGGAATTTGTAACACCATATGTAACCAAAAAAATGATCCTTTAGCTATATTCTGTTGGTGTTCATCCCATTCGAAGACATTACCCTAAGAGTTAACATATAAAATATTTTTTTTTATAAAATGGAATTATAAATTAATTTAAAAATAATGCAAAATACTTAGTCAATAATATAATATTATACATTTAATATTTAAATATTTTGGAATTCTTAAGATTTTCTGACCATATCGAATCCTGATATTTAGTATTATAACTTATACCTATAAACGTGTTGATCAATTTTAAGATTGATACTTTTTTGATACATGAGTTAGGTAATATGACATTTTTCAATTCTAGATATGTGTTTACAATTTGTAAACAATCGTTTACAGTTTTACACGAGTAGAATATTGCGTGCTAGGAAATATTACTTTTAAAGTTTGATCTGAAGGTACAGTGATTTACAGTTGCACAATGTAGGTAGGTACAATTTATTATTTAACCTAACTCAATTCACACCAGTTAGGTATTTTTACAATAATTATAAAATTTTAACCAATATCAAAATTACTAAATACCTAATTAATAATAATGAAATACATTAATAGATTAATAATTTACCTTTAAAATCACATACGAAAATATTATTTTAATTTTTGGTATCGCTTTGTATTTTTAATTTGAAATTCGAAATGTAACTTAAGAGTTGAATATTGTCACAACGACAACACATTTCAAAAATCACAATGTACCTACGTTGTACGATACCTAATGCATATTTGTGAAAATAATAGGTACTTACATTATCTGTGTTAGAGTCAGTCAAATATGATGTATTCTGCAAAAGACTATGATTTGAATAGTATTCACTTTTTAATCCGTCTTTCACAGTTATTGGCCGAACCATAGACACAATTGCTATATTGAGATTCATTCGTAGCATGAAATTCATTCCAAAACCCCAAAAAGTCATGTACCATAATATTGTTCGTTCTGAAATCGTAATAAGTAGGAACACATTAAATTTTTAATAAACAATCTTGCTCGACAATAAAGAATAAGTCGATTTGAAAACATAAACTAATAAATCGAAACAAGCTATTCCCGATTAAATTCATAATTACGATTTTAATGTTCTTTAAAGGTTTAGACCTTGACTTAGACCTTATTTCGAAATGTAACCGAAAGTTATCTAAGATATTTTACCAACTCTGCATGTTTCAACTATTAAGTTGTGGCTTCTTCACAAATATTTGTTCGCTAAATATGCGTGAATAAATCGCCACTATGCGATGCTAAATTAAAGTGTTAATGGATGTATTGCAATTATGATTATAATATATGCAATCTTATTTTATTGCCGGATTACGCGTGCAACTTGAAGAGCAAAATAGTGTTAAAACCACAACATATTATCTTTAATCTTAACCTTTGATTATGTAATCCTCGAAAATCCAACAGTTTCTTAATATTTTAACAACTGTATTTATTAAGTTATGAATTATGATGATTATGAATTTACGATACTAAATTGTTTATTTTATATCCAAATCCAAGAGAACAATCTTATTATTCTTTAATGACAACAAGAACTAATTATACGTATAATGAGACACCTACTATAATATTATTAAGTTGATTTATATAATTTTATAAATGATCTCACAGTTCAAAGATTTCAAACATGTTTATGTTTTATACTCATTAAAGTAAAGACTTCTATTTTTTATTATCTATTATTTTATTAATATGAATATTAAACATTAAACATATTGTACATATTGAATAATTACAATATGTCCGGTTACATAAATAATGATTTTTCATGACTAAGTACCTCCACAAGGAAGTTTCTTCACTCCTTATATTTTAATTTGGGCGAATAAGTTCCTACACGAGACTTAACAAGTAAAAAAATTCATAATAATATGTAAGTTCATACACGGTAAAAATATTACTTACTTGGACATTCCTACACTAATCGTTTATCTGTGACTATTGGAATATGATAGTACTATGGATTATGTGTTTATTTTTATTATTTTTATAATAAATAATACATAGACATTATTAAATTATTTAAATTATTATTTCCATATTATAATATTCTTTATACAGAGTGCGGCAGTGGGTTATGACGAATTTTAATTTATGTTTATTAGCCATTAGATACATTAGACACAGAGTACTGAGTAATGAAACAAATTATATCTTATATAATACAAAGATTATATTTAATTATTATTAACAAAAATTAATTTTTAAAAATTACATTACTTAAGTGGTCAACTTAATTTTGTATATGGTGGGCTATCCGTTTAAGCAATACTATACTGATAATATACGCCACAATTGGAAAAACGCGTTGATTTAAAGGCAACATTTGACGTGTCCTGCATGATTATTGATAATGTAAAACTATTCATCGTGAACTTTAATCTAGCAACAACCTGGTTTATCTTATCTACTTTAGTGCATAACCACAGCACTCTTAAAAACGTCAGAACCCACTGCCGTATGCTATATTAAAATTAAGTCAACCTGATACTCATGACTTAAAATAAAATATTAAAATACATTATTTCACAAATAAATTCACCTTAGGCGAAAAAGGTGGAGACTTTGGGGAGCTAAGCCCCTCAGTTTTTTAATAATATTTTAGTTTAAGACCAGGGCTATCAGGTTTTGTGCTGATACAATTGTAGCCCTCCCCTCCACAGAAAAATGTTCATAGTTGCGCCTATGGGTATCACATCCTTATCCCACAGAGGCTTCACCGCCGCATCCCTTAATTATAAATTATAACGCATTATACTATACCATAACACATTTTTAATTCAATAGTGTTAACTGATAGGTGACAAAAAATAGAAACCAGTGTGACACGATGGCTAATATAATAGACGCATGTATATTTTTCGTATGAAATGCGCGACATCGATAATAACTGAAACCACAGTTAAAGTTAATGATTCGGGCAATTTTTCTTATCACCAATTATCATACTTCATAACGAGTCAGTGCCGGCCCGATGGTTTTCGGGGCCCGGTGCAGAATTTCGCGGGGCCCCATATGGCCAATGGCTGAATATGTTAATTTATTAATTATTATACAATATACACATTTATTTTATTTTTTAGGGACTTTTTTAAATTGCCTGTGAAAATAATATTACCTATCAGTATTGTTTTTAAAATTTAGATAGAATGACTTTAATGATTCTACATCTACATATTTTTTTGTCATATAAAAATGTAAAATAATCCAAAACGTATACCTTTTCCATTAATTTAATGGAAATAGTACATTTTGGAAAATTTAATGGAAATAGTTCATTTTGGAAAACCTAATGAAATATTAAAATATACTCCAAAATGTGCTTTTTCCAAAATAAAAATATTATTAATTTCTTATTTATTGTTTCAATATGAACAAATCGTTTATAAATAAAAAAGTAATTTTGAAGACAAGGAAGATTTTTTAAATTATTTAATAATATATTATTTCTATTAAAAACGACTCAAATGTGTTTAATAATCTAGGATTATATTTTTAATTTAATTTCAAACTTAATGATTGTGAATATTATAAATTATAAATTATATTTTAGTACGTTTTGGATTAACTATTTTATTTCGCTATACCTACAATACGGGCAGTAGTACGTTTTGACATAACATAAAAAAAAAGTACGTTTTGGAATAATTTACGAAAATAGTTCGTTTTGGTATAGTTAATGATTGGTGCCTATTATTTTAAGTTTTAACATTGGCAATAGTATGTTTTGTCGTAAAACTGGAAAAAGTACGTTTTGATTATCTAAATATAATTTTTATGCACGGAAAAGGTTCGTTTTGGATTAAGCAGTCATTTTTAACAGCTGATTTGACCTGGAAATAGTACGTTTTGGTCTATTCTGACAACACCAATCGATTTGTCAGCGTTTTTTTTACTAGAATCGGTGTCTAACTCGTTTTTGCCAATTTTGGCAATAGTACGTTTTGGAGTCCACCCCTCAATCAAAGTAAGATATTAAAATATAGACATAGTACACATACTTATTCTAATTGGTATTTGTCGATAACAAACAGTTTCCTAAGAAAACAACAATGGTCGCGATATCCGTATTACTGCTACGGGGACAATATTATTATGTTTATTTATAGATAAAGTGATATTCGTAACAAGCCCGCACAAGCTCACCATGCGCGGGGCCCCGCACAAGCGCGGGGCCCGGTGCGGTCGCACCGCTTGCCCCCCCCTAGGGCCGGCACTGTAACGAGTTGATTAAATAATTTACAAAAATAAAACACTAATCTAAACAAAGAACATGAAACGTTTCAAATTACTCAATTATCAATTAAATAACAACATTAAAGATAGTAAATCATTAATTTATTTACTTATCCTATAATAGTTACCTATCAATAGGTTTAATAGAATAATAATATAAATCTAATTAAATAAATACTTATAATTTTATTATTTGTATATTTAAGAGGACGTGATACCCTCATGTGTTGTCACCGTCTTACAAGTGCGGAACATAGCAAATTTTACGCTCAGCAGAACACGAGTTAACTCCGTTAGTTTAAAAATTAGAGCGAATTGACCTCTTATAAAACCTAAAGGTAAGATTAATATCTAGGCAACCTTATAGGCTTTTTATTTTATTTTAGTTTTACCGTGAGTTATGAGTATTTTAAGATTTATAAACAATTTATAATTTTAAAATACTCATAACTTACCTGAAAATTAAAATATAATAAAAAGCCCAAGAGGTTGCCTAGATAATAATCTTATCTGTAAATTTTATAAGAGGTCAATTCGCTCTAATTTTAATCTAACGGAACTACACGTGTTCTGCTGAGCGTAAAATGTGCTATGTTACGCACTTGTAAGACGGAGACAACACATCACGTCCTCTTAATACTTTTCAGAACTTCTTTATAAAAACATAAAATTGTATCTCAAATATAACACCTTTTCCTCCGTGTATATAGTCATCGTCAAATACACTGCCACAAATCAAACATTCTAGTTTTATTATTTTTCTTTTCTTTATAGAAACTTCACTCATTTTAAATTTAATATTTTAATTACAAAGTAATAAATCAGAATAATCACTATTAATCAGATATCGATATTCTAATGTATAATAAGTAATAACACAATAATAGTAGTAAATAGTAATACTAATTAGTGATTAGAGCATGGTAGTCGGCAAGGAGGATTTATAAATAATTTTTTAATTATTTACAAATCCACCTTGGTAGTCGGCTATCGGGGTTCGATGTTATCAAAACTAACAATTTTTTGTATATCTATTTTTAGAATTTCTCTAGATATTCCATAGAAGTGTTTCGCGTTATAACGATTGTCATAAACCTAAAACCGAGGAGAAGCCAGTGTTTCCAAACATTTAAATAAACCGTGAATGTGTATTTAAAAGAGAATATTATCTGATTTCTGAGTACAAAATAGTAAATACAAATTTAGTATTTACCAATTTTAGCATTTGATCATCGGACAAAGAATTTGCTGACTTCTTAAAGTTTCTTAGAGTGGGGCATTTTCCATAGTCTGCCCCCCCCCCTAATGACGCCCCTGAATGAAAGTGAGTAGCCCGTATGAGTTATAGTATAATATTGTATCAACGAAAGTACAAACAGTTCTAAATACGACCCACAATCGAAGTTGAAAATTGAAGCATTTCCTGTTCCATACACAAAAAAAAAAATATATATTTCTTTGTAAAACCAATACATTCAACGCTCTATTCGAATGTAAAATGGAATATTATTCAATTCAATCCATATTGACAGGTTTCATCTTTCCTTGAAGTCAGGTATTATTTGTATTCATATATATTATAATAATTAGTCAGTAATTATAAAATGTTTGAATCTCTTAGGAACCACTTACACAATTAATAACCACCCATTTGGGAGGCAATTAGTAGGTACTAGATCATTTTTTTAACGATAAAATTGTGGGTACTAGGGGGGGCAACTCGTATATAGATGGGATTTTGGGAAGCAATAAGTATAAATATTATGGACCTTATTAACTTTGGGAGACAAATAGTATCAGCCTTCTAATATTATAAGTCCAGAATAATATGTGCCAATGTTGTAGGGCTTGATTTCCACCAATGCCTAGAACTACAAAATATATAAAAGTGCGATAGATATGAGTATAGGTACTGGGTACTTATATATTACTCGAGTCATATTAAAATTATATATTTTAACTCTTGCCTACTTTCAATAGAACGCAATCAAAACATGAAAAGAAGGGAAAATTGTTTCAAAATTCTGATTTGCAAAATTTATTTTGAAAGATAACTCAAAAACTAGCATCATAAGCTTTAAACTAAAAAATTGACTGTTATTAAAACTTCAAATCCCTTAGTTAAATATTATTTTATGTATTGCTGTATTGAATGAAATAAAGAATATTGTTTTAGCTTTGCCCAATCATAATTTTTTTGGAAGGCTGAAAAAGAGGTGTTCATTCATTCATTAATTCTTCTCTAGATTTATGTTTCAAATTTTAGATTCTGAGAGGAGCGTTTGGTTTCACAATGTTGTTCATTTATTGTGTTTTTTTCTGTCTCAGCAACATTTTGGGTAGAAAAATGATCTGATTTTTGAGATCAGCATATTCTCTGATAGAAAAGTGAATCTAGTTGGTACTTTTAGGAGATCAAAATTGAAAATTCCAAGTAATTTTAGAAAGCGTCAAGAAAAACAACAAAAAAAGTGATAACATAGTGGTAATTTTTATGCAAAACTATTTTTTGGAAAATGTATTTTATTTTTTGGTGTAACTCAAAAATTAATAACCGTATACCTTTGAAATATTCACCAAATATTTATATTACCATTTTCCACACATAGTAAAATGTTGAAACAATTTTGACTTTTTATGAGCTACATTGTGAACTAGGTATGTTTGTAATGGAGCCATGGAGGGATCTATGAAACAACTAGACTGTTTAGACTATTCTACGAAAACTAATAGGAAGAAACGATTTGGTTGTACGATGTAGTCGGCAAAGGTAATGCACTATGCAGGGATCTATGCAACAATCAGATTATTCTACGAAAACAATTGCATGAAAAAAAAAATGCAAAGAGATTATAATATGAATATATTAATGTAACCAAAAGTTTATTTTTTGTAAGGATCGTGGTATATATTTCAGTGTCTGGTCGTGGAGGAGATACGCGTTATATGAGCGCCCAGCACTTTTGGGGTTTTCCATTTTATGTATTATTATTTCATTAAATTCAAATTTAATACCATGCATTACAGTGGCCCACTTGTACTACTGTACAGCAGAGCGTCACCCACTTACCCGCTTTTTTTTACTTACTTTAAAGTGGTTAACTTTTAATTTTTTCATTAGTTGGTAAAAAACTACGAATACGTTTAGACATTTGCAATATACGCATTCCGGCATTCGCTTTCAACAACATCAATGTAGGTTATTAATCCAAAATTATAAAAAAAAAAACAATGGCCGTTAGTATTAGGAAAATCCTTGCAAAACTAATAATATGATGATATCATGTTATTAACACAATGGTAAATTAGCATAGGAACATGCCAAGTGTAATAGTAGATACCTACCTATAAAACAGTAGGTATATATTATATTATACACTTGAAAAATCGCATAAGCCCTTCAATAAACTAACAACGTAAAATATGTACTCATTACAGATAAGTATGCTGCGTTAAAATAGATATAATTTCAAGATTGAATAAAAATTATTTGATTTATTGAATAAAAAAACATTTTAGTATATAGTATATTAATAGTAATTACGTAAATATCAACTAGATTAACTTATGTGACGTCATCCTCGATAGTGACACCATATCTAGATAGTCAAAAGTCAAAACACAAAGGTAGGTAATATAATACTAATAAATAAAAAAAGATAAATCTTTGGTAAAAAAGTTGTTAATCGATTAATAATTTCAGCAATCTTGTCCAAGTATTAAACAAAAATATGGCAATCTGCTGATTTAACAAATAAATACAGCTCATATTTTTTATTACGTTGCCAAATATACCTAATATAATAATATACATAACCTATGTATATACCTACCTAATTAACGCTTACAGACACTACTGATTTATATTGGCTCAAATAACCCTAATTTGTCAAAGTCCCCCTCCCCAAATTAGTACTTAGTACTAAGCATAAGTAATTTTTAGAAAATGTTATGGAGGGACTTAAAAAAAAAAAAACAGTGAGTGTTGTTGAACACTCGGCAGGAACGAAGTTCAGTGCATGTGATGCGAGACGCGGAAACATATATGGTTAGAAAAATATAAATAAATAGAGATAGAGAGAGAGAGAGACAGAGAGAGAAATGAATGCTTGTATAAATATATCGCGCGCATGGTAATAAAATTATAATAAATTTTTTCTGAGTATTATGAAAAAATGGTATTTTATTTTATAATCATTATAAAAGTACAAAGCAATTATGAAATTAATCAGTATTCTCAATAACAGTAACTATTGGTTTGTGGTAGCTGAATTAATATGTCACGTATGTTTGTGATTGAATTTTTTCTATATATCTCGAAATACTGCATCGATAGTGGTATTGTATCTTGTTGTAGATTCCGACGGATTATTATTGATGGTTAAGTCAAATTCTACTGAAAGAAATTTTAATAATGATACGGTTGATACAGCTTGTACTCGATTATCGTTTTTCAAAAGTAAATTTTAATTTCATTTGTTCAATAGATTTGTATGTTGTATGTATATAGAGAAGAAGGTAAATGGAAATCACAATGGAATTTATAAATTTAAGGGGCAAAAATTATTTTGAAAATAAAATTCTTATCACTTTCCTAATCAATAAAAACAATATTTATGAAAATCCCAATAAATCCCATCAAAAACTCAAAACCCCGAGTTTCTCCTTGGCGAGGTGGGTGTTAGTACTCTCCCGGACCAAAATCCATCAAAAAAGCAAAATCCAAAAGGGGGGAGGAGGTGCCCCCGTTCCCTAAAGCGGAAAACTGTAGTCTTCATAATAAGAATGGGTTCCCCCTTGGTCCGAGGTCTTTAACTTGAATTCCGGCCGAGTTACACTCAACTCAAAATGTGGGGGGGGTGGGGGCTTTGGTTCCCTAATGTTGAAAATTCATCTGGGGCCTAAAAAAATGAGATGCCCATTGGTCCGGGGTCTCTAAGTCGAATACCGGCTAAGTTATGCTTCGTCAAAAATAATTACTCGTTTAATGGGTCCCCCCCCCACTCCGCCCGACGATCACCTCTACGTGCGTGACGACCGATGTTGGGTAGCCTACGCGAATGGAACCGCAGTGTTGCCAGATGGTACGATCCTAGTGGGGACATACGATAATATGAGAGGAGGGAGGGGATATGTAAGCCGGCAGCCGAGCAGGCAGGCACAGTCTGTCTAAATGTTGCGTTTTTCAGTGTTACGCTTTTCGGTGTTACGCTTTTTGGTGTTGCGATTTTTTTCCAGCGACTCCCATCCACCTAACGCCCCATAAGGAACTTCGTTCCAATTGGGCCAATTAATTTTATCAACATAAAACAAGTCGGTAAATGTCATACAAATTCAATTTAAATAAGATTAAATTTATTTATGTTTCAATTTTCATGTCATTTACTCACAATTCACAAACATATTTAATTTATCATAGGTATCATAAAAATGGTGGAATTATAAATCACTTTGTCAAACCACTTATTGATGATGATTCCGCCATCAAATTGGTATTATCATTTACAAGAATTTTAAATTTGTATAGAAATTAGGGAATGGATAAACAAACAATTTTTTTATTAGTAACGAATTGATTAGATAAACTAATAATTTACGGTTGTGCAATTTATTCTTTATTTTGTTTTGTCTTGAACACAACTTTTTTATTAATTGCTAAACATATACTAAAAAAGTGTTTATTAATTGTAGATAACTATATAAGATACAGGAAACACTGGTGACAGGTTTATTTGCATTTAACAGTATTATTATATTCATATAATTAATAATTAAGAACACAATGCATGATACTTACGAAATTAAATAATAATAATATATACTTTTATATTTAACGTCTATCTTCAAATAAAAATCTCATATTGATATAATTGTACATAGATTACTAAGAATAACACTAATGTATAACAACAATGTAAAAATAAATCAACTAATTCCTTTCGACTATTACATAAACACAAAAACCTTAAGTGTCCATAGCGTAAGAACTATTAGGAGGTTTCTTAACAATTGATTTCAATTCTTTTTCATTTACAACTGGATCGTTGTATGTATTCCATTTTTGTATATCAGATGTTCCAAAAAATATGTAAATTAACCCAGTACATATGCATATTGCTCCAGATAAATGAAATACTTTACACCATTGACTCAATGTTTGCTGAAAAAAATCCATGGACCTATTATAGTATATTATTTAATATATTCACTCAATAATTCACCAAGACTTGGTTTGGATTTCGGCATCCGGTATATGTTTGTTTTTAGTTTTGTATAATCTGACTTTTCTCCCGTCAATATGGACGGGGTGTAATCAATATTATTAATTATTATACTAATAAAGTATTATCTAATTGTGAATAATATTGTGGTTGGAAAATACGATGCAAATCTGGATGAATTTAATTATTTTAGTTTATTTTTTGCAAATAGAAGAATTAACAACCAAACCACTATGTAAGTGGTTAAAATGTTTTACGTTTCCTGTTAAAGCCTGCAGTAGAAGCATTTTTTTTTTGGAAAAATGCATACATTTGGAAAAAGAAGTTCGTGTTTTATCAGTTATCAAATTATTTTTTATATTTTGATCAAAGTAAGCTAGTTGACTATGTTGGGGCCTGGGAGCATAAGGTTTTACAGTGTTTTTTTTCTATTCTGTAAATACTTTTAGGGTAGGTATAGGTAGAGTTAAGCATTTTATATAGTTATTATTATTATTATTATTAATGTAAGTGCATTAATTAATGCAACTACACTAAAAAATATGTTGTAAGCAATATCTCTTGCTCCTACGCAATTACAAAATAAATTGAGTTTGGAGAAAAAATGTGTGGTTTAGGTTCGGTTAGGTATTTTATTATAAAGGTGTTTAATATCAATACATTTATTTGCCAAGTGTAAATACCACTGTACACTGGTATCCACAATATAAAATAAATACATTAAAATTGTAAAGTACCTACACATAGTTCGTCAAATATAGTGAAAATATTGTTAATTGTGATATTTTCATACTAATTACTATTATAAGTGACATATTAAATAAATTATACAAATATTCTACAGTTTTTGTCCCACTTGACCCCCCCCCCAAATATGTGGCCTGGTAATGAGTTGAATGGCCTGCAAACATTTTGGCACCAACAAACAAAAAGTTGAAATGACGCCCCTGCACTACACCAGTCATAACAGAACTCATTATATAATCCCAAGTTATCTTGTATTAGGTGAAGATAAAAACAAATTACCTGATTAAAGGTTAAATAACCCACAATTATGGGTGATATAAATCCTGTGGACGAGGCAACAGTTCCAATAATTCCTTGAATTACTCCTATAAAGAAAATAATATTTAGTATTACAATTACACATTGAAACTATAAAAGTATATTATAGGTATATACAATACTTAATAGTTAATATTAATATAAAATTGATTAAAATAAATATGTTATTTAAAAAATATATATTAATACATTTTATAATATTTTCCTTTTGAGTAATTTAATGCAATACAAAAAAAATGTGTTCCCATTTTAAATTCTGAGGTTTTGAAGCAGAAAATATTCCAATCATAAACTTTGAAGGTTTCCAGTTAAAAATCAGATCTAGTTTGTACTTTTAAAAGTAAAACGAAGTAAAAACCCTGTGTATCTACTTTTAAATAATTGGGAAACACAAACATAAAACTGAGGAAATACGGAATTTTTAAACGGTTTTTGACAAAATAATTGGTTTTTTGTTGTAATTCATAAAGAAATAACTTTTAACTATAGTAACTTTAAATTTTCCCCAAAAAATGTCTATACCAGCCTAAAAAAATACCTATACATGATAATATTATAATGTACAAAAAAATTGACTCTTTTTGAGCTAGATTATTAAACTTTATAAGTTACTATCTCATTAGTTTTTCTTACAGTCATTAAAAAATGTCAAAATTTAGTAGCAGTTAAATTTTTTCATATGCATTTGAAGTTCAAAATTATACCAAATTTTATAATTAAACGAAAACGAAACATTTTTAGATTCTGAGTGGAACGATGAATATATTGATTTTACAATGATGTGTGTTTTTTTTCTATTTTTTTTATTTTATTTGTGTCTGTGTACACGATAAGTAGTCGAAATAATGCTTCGATTTTCAACTTCAGTATCTTGTTCGATTGGAAAGTGAATATCGTTGGTGCATTGGGAGGTCAACATTTAAAATTCAAAGTAATTTTCAAAAGCCCTAAGAAAAACAAAAGAAAAATTAAGGAAAAGCGGGAATTTTTACGCAAAATCGATTTTTCACAAAATTGAATTTGGTTGTTGGTGTAACTTTAAAACAAATGACCGAAGATACATGCAATTTTCACTGGTTGTTTATATTTGCATTTTCTATACACGATAACATTTTCAAAATATTTTGATTTATTTTGAATTGTTTAGGGACATTTTCAGTTTCCAATTTTATTAGTTTTTTTTTTATGAATATCAATAAAATTTTATTTGTTGAGTAAAAATACTTGAAAAATTTAATGGAAGGCTCCTAGTATTGTTTCAAAGGCAGATGAAAAATATTAAAAATCTTTAGTCATAGTTTTTTTTTATAAGCATTTAAAGTTCAAAAATTGACAAAATATGGAAAAATCACGAAAATTATCAAATTATTTTGAGTTCAGAATTCGTAAAAATTTTTCTTTTTAAATCTAAGGTTCTAAATTGTAATACAAGATTCCTTATAAGATAACCTTTGTCAAAAAAAAAAAAAATGTCTATAAGAAAGTCAAATTAAATTTTTATGAGCCTTTTAAATTTAAATTCAAATTTTTACAACATTGGATATTCACTCGATTTCTCATGTAGGGATTTCATTATTTTGTTATAATTCAAAAATGAATAACTGTAAATACATGATAATTTTACACCAGATGATTTTGAGAATATTTTGACTCTTTTTAAGCTGTTTACGGACATTTTCAGTTTTCAATTTTTTAGTTTTTTTTTCTATAAATATCAGTAAAGTTTTACCTGTTGGGCCAAAAAGTGTAAAAATGTAATACAAGGTTCCTGATTTATTATTATAATATATCAGTGGAAAAATATTAAAAATGCATAGGCACAATTTTTTTTTATAAGTATTTAAAGATCAAATTTTGACAAAATTTATCAAATTTAAAATTGAATAATTATTTTGTAGTTAAAAATATATAAAATGTTTAACTTTTATACCTAAGGATTGAAAATTTAAAACAAGATTCTACGTATGAAGTTAATTATGTTACCAAAAAAACTAATAACTACATAAACACAGTTTATTTTTATAGTCATTTTAAGTTCAAATTTGGACGAAATTACATAATAAAAAACCTAGAATAACTATTTTAGTTATTTTGTTGTGGTTGTATAATATAATTCGTGGGAGCTCGAAACTTCTAAAGTACACTATTATATATCTATGATAGTATCAGGGTTTGTTGTTGATGTATAAAGCGTTATAAGTACCTAATGGATAATGTGATATAATTAATTTAGAATTTATTATAGGTACCTATTATATTTAAATTTTTTTTTAATACCATAGATAATTTTATAATATGTCTTATACCTAGACTGACATACCGTCTCCGCTAAGAATCGAAGCTTATACAATGATATTATACCATTGAATTCAAATTTAATACCATCCATTATACAGTGACCCTCTTGTAACCTACTGTACATCAGAGCACCTTTTTTTTTTAAATTCCAAAAATATGATTCTTAGAGACTTTAAACTTTTCGCCGTTAAGTGTGTTATAGTTTTATATATATAAATTAATTTTTTAAATATTTAGACTAATTTCAAGCTATTTATAGGTAAAATGATCCTGTTCCCATCCTTTTAAACTATTACAGTTCTACTGTACATCCGAACGGTATTGACTTAAAAGTTACAAGCTCATGACATCAATATAATACTTTACGATACCTATTATTATAATTTAGTAGGTATACGTAGGGTGTCTGACAAAAACTAGTTAAACCAACCGTTTTTTATTGACTATAGTATTTTATATTATTGATACTAATATACATTTATTATAAGATATGCTTGGAACTCGGATTATAGACTACCTATAATCGGAGTGGAATGCGCTGTCCATTAGTTTAAAGGTCTATGGTATTCTCTCTGGGAATTCATGAGTGATAACTTTTGATACAAGTGATAAAGAGTGATAAATATGTAACGAGTATATTTGTGCATGATAACGCATCTCAACCAGTGATTCGTCGCCAATAAGTAATATGTGCTTCAAATTGTTTACATAGGCGAGATAGCCAGATAGCCTAATAGCCTAAGGCTATGGCTCTATCCATTATCCATTGTATATTATGATCTAAGGTTTAGAAATAGAGGCACTCAGACTAATGTTTGCTTGTACAATGATTTATCATTGAATTCAAATTTAAGTTTTAACACACCTACTGCAATAATCTACATACTAGGTATAGATGACTTTCGTTGTGTATAGGTTCTAAAATAGGTAATTAAAGTAGCCAGTAAAATATAATTTTCCATAAAGTAAATATTAGATGAACGATTTAAATGTATATTAAAAATTTACCTGCATAATTTGGAGCAATATCCACCACTGCAGCGAGTGCTCCAGAAGATATTGCGCCGTTTACAGCAGTTGCGCTGAAAAGCATGATTACTGCGACCGCTGAATCACATCCAGAATAACAAAGACCCAAAATAAATAACCCTTGTAAAACATTACCTATACACAAAAAAATAATATAAAACAACAAATTAGCTGTAGGTAACACTTTAAATATTATAAAGCTAACAGTGTATATCGTATGTTTCTTACAAAATAATGTGGCCATTTTGCGTACATTGGTCATAGACATTCTTTTAGATTTCACCAAACGATCGCATATCATACTAAATCCAAAAGAAAACGCCCATCGAACAAAATGAGGCATTCCAGACCATAAACCTGTCTGAGAAACGATTGTTTTTACAGTTGTGATTGTTAATTTTCATGTTATACCTGTTTTATATTTAAACCTAAGATAAAGTTAAAATATGATGGAGCTTGAGCTGCAAGTGTGAATAAGCCCCAGATACCTCCAGTTTGAGTCACTAAATTAATCATCAGTGCTTTAGATGAAAGTAATGATTTCCAAGGTATCGGTAACTGCAACAGTATTGAAATAATAGTATACAATAACACACAATAACAGAAATAACATATTTTGTTTTAATCAAATTATATTAATAAATTATTATATTATCTTATAGTATTTATAGGTATTGTAAATCTTTTATAAATATATTAGTATGTTTTTTGAAACTCATTCGTTTCAAAAAAATTGATGTGTATTCACACATTTGTACCTACACTTTGGTTACCTTAGGGGTTGACAAAAATACAAAATAAGCTATAAGCACCATCCTAGTCTCAAGGAATCTATTGATATAACTTTTAGAAAAACGTTCTAGTCATGAGTCTATTAACTTCGGATAAACCAACATCCATTCTTATGTAATTATTTATACATTTATTATCAGTAACCAATGCCCGGAAAAAAAAACAAATATAAAATACATCGCTATAGCCTATAATATAATATGTATCTTGGTTTTAGTGTGAATCCGTTCACGGGTAAATCAGCGTCTCACTATGTGAAATGGTTTAACCTGTTTAAAAATAAGACGATCTTTTGGGATAGACTTGTACTATAATTAAATATTTGGCAATATTTATTTTACCTAGCTTTAAAGAAACACAAATACGCAATATGATTGAAATTTCTGAACGACACACAAAATTCAACTGAAAAAAGGTGGGAAAGTGGGTGTTGCTCTGCTTTACAGTATGTTACAAGTGGGTCACTGTAATGATGGTGTTAAATTTTAATTCAATGATATAATATCATTGTATAAGAAAAACTATAATTAAACTGTATTTTTTGCAAACAATAACACACAACATATTATTATCACTATAAATTCAAATATTTAAATAACTCATTTTTAAAATTCAACAAAAACAATGGAAAAATAAATAAAAATAAATTAGGGAACCCTAACCTTAACAATACAATTTTTAAATATAGAAAATACATTTTTGTTTTTATGAAATAGTTTTTCGGAAAATGGATACTATATTTTGGTTTTCGTGAAATGATCTCTCAGAAAAATGGACATTCAGAAATACGGGGATTCGATAAAATGTCAGGGTATACCTACCATAATATTATCAACTAAATAGTAATAACATATTAACATACATTTTAAATAACTGCACCTATATTATATTACTGACTATTATTTTAACTATGATTTTTCTTACCGGTTTTGATCTAGTTTGGATGGTTTTACCAATGCAATCTTCTATGTATGTTTTTTCTCTAATACTGATAGTAGGATGTTTGGCAGGAGTATCATAGACCAGTAAAACCCAAAAAATATACCATAATAGACCAAGTCCTCCGCTAACATAAAATACACTCTCCCAGCCAAACGTGGCGATGAGATATCCACACATGATATATGTTACTGCTGTGCCAATCGAACTTCCTTTGCATATAACAAAAAGAAAAAATATGAGCTCCAGAATACATATCTATATTTCTAAAAAATATGGGAATTTTGATAAATACAAAACCTTAATTTGTAAAATTACACCAATCAGTTTAATCAAATCTTGATTTTAAATAAATCAACACTTGGTTTTTCTTAGGTTTTCGATTTCAGCATGTTTTCTGATAGGAAAGCGAATTTAGGTGGTGTATTCAAGAAGTCAAAATTGAAAAGTAGTTTTAAAAGCGTCGAGCAACACATAAAAAGAAAATTCAGACAAATATAAATTTTTACGCAAAACCAATTTTTAACAAAATCGATTTTATTTTAGTGTAACTCAATTATAACTAATGACCGTAGATATTTTAATTTTCACAGGATGTTAATATGATCATATTTTCCATAGGTAAACGTTACAATTTTTGAAATATTTTTACTATTTTTGATTTCTTAGTGGTTATGTTACATTTATTATTTATTATTTTTATTTTTATTATTGTAGATAAATAATATTTTGCTTCAACAAATTACTTGAAAATTGAATACAAAGTTCCACATGAATTGGTAATAATATAATTAGAAAAAAATTTGAAAGTAAATACATAATAATTTTTAATAAGCTTTTGAATTTAAAATGTGTACGATATTGGAATATTGGATGTTCTATTCACCTATTTAATTGTAATTTAAAACGAATAATTTTCACCTATTGTTTATACTAGCATTTTCTATACATTGTAAACATTTAAAAAAATTTAAATTCTTTTTGAGTTATTTATAGCCATGAGAAGTTTTTGAATTTTATAAATTAGGGCCAATAAAAAAGTATAAATGAATATATTTAAGATTTGTGATATTTTTTAATAAACATACTACTTATTATGAATTATATTAAATACAAATTATCTTAACAAATATTTTAAGGTGTTCATATACCTACTGGGTTTGAATTTTCAATAACTAGCATGCTGTGTAATCACTAGGATTTCACTTTTTTTTTTAATTAACTAATATGTTTAATAATAATTTGGTTTTATATAGTTATCTTAATGTTAGCAAGTTATCTTAATAATAAACGGTTGTCCCAATCTTAAAATCTAAACTGTGTAATTATGATGCTGAAAACCAATTTATGAATACATTTTGATACCAAAAAAAATTCTTAACTATTCAATTACTGGTCTGTTCATCCTACTATAGTAATATTAACTTGTATTATTATTTAACAGCATTTACAACCAGACTCAAAAAAAAGAAGACAAATTATTAATAATATTATATATTTTTTGCAAAAATTAGTTCAACGGTAGGTATGTTTTCCTAATCGAAAAATATTAATATAAATAAACTATAAAATATTCATAGACATATAAGCTGACACACCGTGTCTGCTTAGAATCGTTTTTACTATGCAATCACAAAATCTAGGTACTATACAATATCAACATCAGTAGTTTCAAGGTTTCCTTTTTTTGTATACCATCGTGAAAAATAATATTATTATTAATTGTTTGATTTAGTTCTCGGTCATCATAATAAATACATCGAAGAACTTGTAAATCAATTTCTAAAATATTTTTTTGAAATCATTTGAACATCTTTTGGTCTTCAGACATTAATATCATAATATTATTATTTATTGTAAGTACCATATTTAGCTATGACGAAAGTATTGAATTACCTAAATACGCCGAAACAAATCGACTTCTCTCGTGTGCCGGTATCCAATTAGCGGTCATTGTGTGCATTGAAGGCCATACACCACCCTAATTAAAATAATAAAATTAAAATATGAAACGTCAGTTTAAAAAATAAAAAGTCTTACGGATATGAGTCCTTGAACAACTCTAACAACCACGAGTGCTTTATAGTTGAATTTTGCCGATGCAGGTACTGCAAATGACAATATCGCCGCCACACCGTTGCTGATACCAAACACGGTTTTCGTACCATATCGTTGTGCCAAGACTCCACCTGGTAACTGCATGATCCAGTTCATTGTGAAAAATGCACCAAGTATTAAATTTTGCTGATGTTCGTTCCATTCGAATTTATTGTCCTTGATCATTTAAGCATATTAAATACACGAAGTAGGTTAGTAATGTCAGGTTAATAGTATAGGTACTAACGATTGATGACTAAAATAATGTCTTTTCATATAAGCTTTATACATGGCGATTCGTCGACATTTTAATCACGAAACGCTACTGATAGATCATGATGAAATTATTATTATTATTATTATTATTATTATTATTATTAAATTTACATTTAGGTCCACCATTAATATATTTTGTGCTAAAGTATTGTTCGACGTCAACTGTTCAGTCTTGCTGAGGCACTCGTATTGTATAATAGTTACATTGGTTTTTGATATTGAATGTTTAATCATTGACACGATTGCTATATTAATATTCATTCGAAACATGTAATTAATAGCAAACCCCCAGAAAGTCATGTACCATAAGACTGTCCGTTCTGCAATATAATTGTATATTAAGTATGTTTAGTTAATATATTTATATATGAAAAAGAAAAAACAAAATGTTACTTACTCTCCATAATTATTGTTTGTGTTGAAGGAAAATTTCAATCGCATAGCTATCTTGTATTACAGTATTCTCTATAATGAACCAACATGATGATGATACAAACAGGTAAGTACTTAATCAGACATATCACATAATACGTACGTACTTCATAATGATGTATAAAACGTACTAAAATATCATTATCAACGACCTATTAGAAAAATGTTTACTTTGTAGGTACAATTATGTTTAAGAGTAGGTAGTTCCATAATGCATTATTAAACATTTCTACAATGCCATGGACATTATTTTGGTAAATAATAACCTTCAATGTGATTAAAAATATTATATGTTCTCATAATATGTTACCCAATATTCAGTTAAAAATTAAAATGTTATTCACAAAACAATACAATACATCTAAAATTAATTATTTAAAAAAAAACAGTAAGTGTATTGATTGATTGGTATTCTTGTTTAAAATGAATTAATTTTCGAAGATAAATTTTACCAGACAACCTATTCATTAATATTTTTAAACTAATGTATTTGGATATACTGAAGATGATGGTGAAGTAAGGAGTTGTCGGAGTAGCACATGGTTTTGAAGTTGTGGTCCTTGAAAGTTTATCATTTGTCACGATAAACATGTCTACAGTAACAGTGCTAGAATAAGAATAAGTGATAACACTTTCGATAGGTACCTACTATAATATTATTAGTGTGATGCCGGGTCGTAGAGTAATAACTATACGATGATAAAATTATTTATAACTGTGGCAATAAACTAATATTATGTATAGTCAGTATTAGTATAACTGTATGAGCCTGCTCTTTTTACAGATACCAAGATTTGATAAATTATAGATAATATATTATAATTTATAAGTACCTATATAATGTATTGGTATAGTATATCTAAATACAATAATATATCTATATAAACCTTGCACAGCTATGTATGTTATGTATTTTAACAGTGATGAAGATAAATATTTATAAAGTGCAGCATTACCAGTGAAGTGTGACAAGTGCTGAAGTGCTTATAGTCACTGAGTACGGCTACCTATCGTAAAACTCGAGGTTCTACTGACCTCTCATAACATTCCCAGTTAAAGTAACATGAGTAATCGCACTCACTCCCTACGTTGGACTTAGAGTTGGATAGAGGCGGCTCGGCCCCCAACCCCCCGGGGTGGAATTAGTCCACACGAAGGGAGAAAGCGATCCCTACAGGGTCGGGAAAAGAAATATCTACACTTAGGAGAGACAGGTAACCTAATAAGTGAATACCTAACCTTTGGGTAGACCTTGCCAGTTGATTAAAATAAGTAGTCACTGACCGTACGGACTTCTGGTAACATTGCTAGATAAATAGTCACATGAACAATCGCACTAGAGGTCCTACAAATTATTACGATAAAAAGCACAAAACAAAACCACTGACAAAAACGTAGTTGTGATTTGTAAGCTGGGCTAAACTATTAATCTTGTTTTCACTTATTTGCACGCTCCACGTACCGACTAGACGCGATTACCGTAACTGGAGTCCGACTGTCAAATTCTGACTTCACCATCCATTTCAGTGATCCTATAGGCTATAACTACATAAGTTAAAAAAAATGTATAAAAGGGTGTCCGGTAAAATACCAAAATACCGATCCCTTTTGACTTTTTAGATTCTGAGCGAAGCGATGAATATATTGATTTTACAATGATGTATTTTTATTTGTCTCGCATCGATACACAATATATTGAAGAATATATGATTTGATCATTAACTTTTTGAGGGAGCTTTCTGGTAGAAAATACTAAATTGATCTAGTTGAGGTAGAAAAAATGGAAACTTAAACTATACAAGGTTCGTTATAATAGTTGTTCATATGCAACAAATTTGTTCATATTCTTCAAAATCGTGAACATTTTTAAAAATATTTTGTAGGTAGTTAAAAACTTCTACATTTTTTAATAATCACACCAAAATTTTGAAAATTGAATACAAGGTTTCTCATAAGTTTTTATATTTGAATTTAAAAAACAAAATTGAGTTTAATTCCACAAATTATAGTTCAAATTTTGACTAAATAGGAAACACACACATAAATTATCGATTTTCATAAAACTATTTTCTTATTTTGTTATAATTAAAAAACGAATAACCGTCGATACTTTAGATTTTCACCGAATGTTTATATTTTTTACTAGGTATATATTTTGTTTATATTTCTCTAAATTCCAGGAAAATCATTTAGATTAATGATAAAAACGGGAAAGTAAAATATAAGAAAATAACACGAGGGGACAATAATTCTTAGTAAAATAAAAATCAGGAAAATATATATACGGTAATAAATAACAAGAAAAATAATTTGTAGGAAAATAATAACCAGGTTCGAAGTATTACAAACCCCGATGGTCACCCATCCGGGAGCTAGTAGCTTCGGTCGTTATATACTCTCAGTCGCATTGCGCGACTGAGAGAAGCCCACTCACCAAGCCAAGCCAACATATATATAAACTATAATATTATAATATAATAAAGTAATAATATTTAAATGCCACATATATTTAAACTTAGTAATAGGAATAATTAAATTTCGTTTTAGTAAAACACTTTTTATTTATTGAGGTAACGGGTTGTACGTCATAATTTTAGCAACGGATCTTGTGTAGTTGTGTTTAATATATTCATTTAGAAATTTAGCGCAATTTAAGGAATTAAGTAAATATAATAATATAAAAGTTGAGTAATTTTAATAAAAAACTCGGGGCTGCTAAAGCCCCTTATTTTTCCATATAGTTCACAAACGACTTAAATTATTAGGACAATGATAATTTCAAAGCTGGGGTTGTTAATCACCACCACTATCAAATTATGCCTAAGATAATATTATGCCGTATGTATTTAATCAAAAGTTATCATTTATTTAATATTTTAAAACATAGGCGTGCGCACGGGGCGAGCCGGTCAAGCCCAGGCTCGACCTGAAACTTTTTAGGGGCATAGTAAAATGTGCGTATATATTTGAATATTTTATTATAATGCTTATATTATAATAATATGTTCGTGATCATGAAAATTTTGTTTGTCGTGAAAGTATAAAAAAATCAAAAATATTTGTGTGTACCTACCTAACCTAACCATTACATACATTTTATTAATCTAAAAAAATACAGTATACCTTTATAGGTACAAATACAATAACTATAGTACTATAGACATTAATAGGTTAATATATTATCAACATGTATGTTGGTGTGTTAAAAAAAAAATTAGGGGCGCAGTCCAAATATTAGGGCACTATAATTGTCTAGGCTCGACCAGAAATTTAAGTCTGCGCACGCCTATGTTTTAAAAGCCCTTGCAATCAATTATAGTTGTAATACCAACTACCGTACTGGAACGAATGTTTAGTTACAGAAGTGCAACGCCTTCTGTAATTTGTACTAAGCCGACAAAATATATTGTTATTTAGTATAAAGATTGAAGGCAGACTAATTTATGGCATAGCTTATAGATACTATATAATATTATATCTATAAAATAAATTCAATAGATAAGCATTAAACAATTCCTAATGATAATTCAGACAAATTGTGATGGTTCAGTAGCTAAATACAATTTAAAAGGTACGATAAAAAATCATAACATTTGAATAATCGTAAAGTTTTTTTGAAAACATGTGTACCATAAATTGTACCTACATATTTTTTTGGAACTTATACTGCACATTCACTAACTGCGACATCAATGATTTCTGAAAAACGACGTTTTTTTATGTGTTCTTGGAGTTCAACTGTAATATTGCTCTCATCATCTTACGTCATAAAATTCCAAAATTATCTCAACAAATAAATTGAGTGGGTGACTGGTGGCCACAATTATAATATACTGACTAGTCTCCATTTATAGTTTCGGTGAAGTTATCGTCATTGTCACGCCACTATACTGCAAGGATTCAATTTGGCTTTAGTCTCATAAGATTACGAAGAACTTTATAATAGCAACACATTAGGACCAGCTTACCAAGTACCACCTCTATAATTCTACAAACGCATGATACAAACAAAATGGTATGATCGAAAAAGTCCAGCTTTGGTTAAGTTTGCGCAACACGTAACTTACTTAATGCTTAACTATATTATCATAATATTGTCATTTAATTATCATTACTATTACTTATAAGGAGTTATAACTATACACTACGCTACATCAAGCCCAGGTGGCCTCTCCCAAACCCGTATTTCTAAAAAAATTATATTGTTAAAACAAAATTACAGTGACAATAATTTCTACTTTCTCGGCGATCGACTCGGACTCGGTTGCCCTGACGCCCCTGGAAAACACTCCTCGGGAACGACTGCATGCGGTCCTGGTGACGAACGGTGCAAATAAATGCCGTGCTACCGAAACGTTTGCCGTACGCCGACGCGTTGGATACGCCGAATCGCCGATGTACACCAGGGCCGTATGTACTACCGCGGTTGTGACGCCGACCGTCATCGGTACCGATAACTTTGTTCGTAACACGCAGTCATCGTCTTATTCTGTGACGCAGTTTTCTATGTTGGAATAATAACAATTATTATTATCGTAGTTGAACCTCTGGCGGACAAACAGACACCGCGCATGGGATCCTGGTCGTCGCGTCACGTATTATTCAAGAATAACATCACATAGACATCGCATTAATCGCGTGAGAACTGAGAAAGTCTGCAAATGAGTTTGATTTCAAATATTCAAATATTAAAAGCAAAAAAAGGCACTTAAGAAATCCAACCAATGGGCAATATGTTTGGAAATGTGTTTAAGATCACATCATTCGACAATCATCAGCTATCAACAATACCACAAATATCTGGTCAAGATACTACAACACCATTTTATTTGATCAACTATCAACACTACCACAAATATCTGGTCAAGATACCATAACACCAGCCGACCACCGTGATAGAGTGACAACTGTAAATCCGTCATCTTCGTATTCATCTCACCATCTCAATTCTCAGGTTAATCATTTAAATTCG